TTACATCAATCCTCCCTCCGCGGAGTCGTCAGTATATATAGATCTTATTCAGAGATGATCCAATAATCGTAACATGATAAATATTGCCTAGAGTAATCAGCAACAAGTTTAAGTGGTGACTCCGTCGCCAGTGTACTGCAACTTATTATCTCATTACAGGATGGCTTCCCATATATGGCGTCTATATAGGAGTTAACAACTTCGCATTCTCGTTGGTAAGGTGTTAAATGTTACATATTGTACATCACGACATAATTAGTGTATGAATTTTGTGTACTGGAAGATTTCCAGCTGATAAATACCTTCATGTAATGTAACGGTGGCTGTTGTGGCGGCTAGAGTGATCAGTACTTCGTTTCTAGGGTGTTACCATCCGCGAAAGACCACAATATCAGCCAAAATATTTCTAATTACTGGATGAGAAATGTCAAGCACAGTGAATATGTAACTTTCCTATAGTTTCATTCACAATAAGGTCAATGCAATGATTGGTTGGAGTTAAAGGATGATTTAGCATCTTATTGGTCACACCTAAAGTATTAAAAGCATAATCATAGCACAACTGAAAAGCAAAGTACTTATATTTTAACTCACTCTTTTTTTTAGTATTAAACCACCTATCTTATTCTCTATAACACACTTCACAGCCTGGCAAATTCAACAAGACACAACAAATTAGTAGGCATCACATCACACGTAAACAAAATATATATATTTTAGGGACTCCATATAATATATATATATATAATATAATTATTTAAAATATCCTAGAGGAGTAGTTATAGAGAGTGCTTATGGTATCATAATAATAATTAGATGCTAGTATGTAATATGGGATGTGATTTTGTGACACGACGCCAGAAATTGATACGTGACCCGACCCGAAAAATTTGGGGTCGGGAAGTCGACCGTTTAGTTATAACTGAGGGTCGAGTTCGGTTCGCAAACAAATCCGTCCCTTTAGAATAGTACGGGTCAGGTTTAGCACCGGGAACCGAAATGATCCAGAAAAGACGTCTCGAAAGCGGGCTGTGGATCGACGCCTGCCGATATGTAGTGTCGAGTGCTAGACTTTCCCGATGCGTTCCTCTCTCTGTAAGCGTCGAGTCAGCAAGTCCCAATTCGCCAGTCTCTTAGGAAAGAGCAAAGGTGGTTTTTTGTTGTAGTGTTGATAAATTTAGTTCATAAATTTCTTAATAAGTGTAAGGAGGGATAAGACACTGGTCGATGTTGCCGTAACGTGGCAGTGCTGGCGGCTCGGCGGGTCGCTTCAATGCAATCGCGGATTTCGAGTTCATACGATCACGTTTGCGTGTTGCCACTGCGCAGCCTCGTGCTCACTCGGAGCCTACCGTGTAGCACACCTGCGTACGTTGTCACTAGAGACGAATGATTTACGCGGAGACGACCTCGGAGCAGGGACCGATGAGTATATACATGGGGAAAGTAGCGAATCGGAGGTAGCAAGCAGTTGGTAGGAAAACACGACAGGGCCGGTATATGAAGAGAAGTTCACCTCTCTCACTTCAAAGTTCCGTGTCGGCGTCGCTCTGTCTCGACCAACCCGATCCGGGTCGAGAGATATACGGGTCTCGTTGATGAAAAATATATTATATATTGACCGAAACCTATTTCGGGTCGTGTCCAAGTATCATGTCAAGATACAGGCCACTCACGTCAAATTCGTGTTTGACCCAAAGCACCACCCGCCGACACGATTGACAGCCCATCTCAATGCGTGTAACAAGGGTAGTATGAATAGAGAAATAATTTGATTTAATTTTAGGTTGATTTTATTTCAATTGTGATTCATACTCAAAGATTTTTACTCTTAATTTTACGCGATAAATGATTATACAAATTTATAATGGAGGAAACTATATTTTGCCCACCGCCACCTAGTCTAATTAAGGGTTGTCAATGAAATTTCACCATAAAAATTTGGATAGAGTTATTCTTAATTGGTAAGCATACACAACAACATCACATATAGGGTCAATTATATGGCGTGTTTCGTTTAGTAACATTAATGAATAGGAAATACCACTGTGGAAATATTTAGGCTATAGGGGAACAATATTGTTATACTCATTGTATTCGGTAAACTGCTTAGAGGACTCGTTGTGGCATAATAAGAAAATATCCTTATGATATCCAATGTCGAGCACCACACAGAATAGATTCCACATGAGTAACATCTAACATGTGGCAGGTAAGCAGTAGAATATAATATGTATTACTTGATAAACAAAAGCTCGTCATATTGGAACTTTCCATACACCAAGGTCGTTCATATATTAGGGATTGTCTAAATTGGGTTTTTGGATATGACGTAGCGAGCTCAACTATAAAATAAGTCGTTACTATTTAACCCGAACTCGACACATTGACCAGATATAAACTGTATAAACGGGTCAGAAATATAGCTCAACTACAGGAAAATAGGCTCGTTACATCTAGATGGATTTTCAGGTCAGAATAAACTTATATATGTTCGGCGAAAAATATCCGCGCGATAATTTCATCGCACGGCGTATTAGGTATTTAAAGTATTTCACAACAAATTTTTTCCAGCAGAATTTTTGACGTTTCCGACGAATTTTATTAATTTATTTTAATAAAATTTCAAATATTATTATTATTTTTAATTAATTAGTAATTAAAATGTATTTTAATTAATTATAAAATTTATATTTTATTATAATTTATTTTAAGAGGATGAAATTGTAAAAAGAGAAACTAAGGTAACTTTAAAAAAAAATTATCCTAAACTTATTTATTTTGCTAAGTTTGAAGCCTAATAAGACCCTTTAATTAAAAAATTAAAAATCCTTTTCCACATTTAATTTTCTTTGTTTTTTATGAAGTTGATTGGTTACCTAAAATTGATTTAATTAGTAGATTTTTTGTTTGCTTAAATTCATCCAATAATTTTTTAATTGTGTTATTTAAAAAATATGTATATTTTAGTAGTGCTTATGCCCTGTTATAAAGTTAGTTAATAATTAAATTTATTTTAGTAAGTTCTCAAACTAACATATTATGCAACATTTATCTTTCTAATTATAGTAAAGTTCCCTCTAAAATTAAAATTATACACTATGAATAGAAAAACAAATAAGTAAAATAATGAGTCAATAATTAGCATGTTTGATGTTTTTTTTATGAAACCTAAGCTGGAGACTTTGTTTTGGTTTATAGTGGTGGAGATATATTTTTATGTTTATAAAGTATGTGTTTTATTGTTCTAATTGGTGATGAAGGTTTAGGCTATATTTGGGACGGCTTTCTTACTGCTTCTAAAAGCAGCTTTTTAGTGCAAAAATTAAAAGTTTTTCACTAGAAAACTGCTTTTAGAAGCAGTAAGAAAGTCGTCCCAAACGAAACCTTAGTTTGAGACGACTTTTTTAATGTTTTCTAAAGTAGTTTTTTAGTACAAAAATTTTTAAACAAAAAATTTTGTACTAAAAAATTGCTTTAGAAAGCAATAAGAAAGCCGTCTCAAACAAAACCGAAGTTCATGAAGTTATTATAATAGAGACATATTGTAGAATTTGTAAACATATTTAGGTTTCGTTTGCGGCTACTTTTTTGATGCTTCTTAAAGCAATTTTTTAGTACAAAATTTAAAATTTCCTTACTAAAAAACTGTTTTAAGAAGAAACAAAAAAGTCATCCCAAACGAAGCCTTGGAAATCGAGCTTATTCGGTTAAAAAACTTGGCAAAATAAACATTGCATCATATAACACATGCAAGTTCTATTTATCACATTATGGAAATATCCCATGGTTTAGCTACAATAATGATAGAGAACAACCCAATACCTTATTTAGTATCTCAAAATTAACAATAATTTGCTATTTCAATAATTCAAGATAATTCTTTAAAAAAATATATATTTTTCTTAGAAAAAAAAAAACATATGTGATTTTTTTTTTATCCAAATGCTACAAGTGGCTCGACAAGACAATTTCATAGCCACATGGGTTCTCGAGAGTTTGAACCTATAGTTAATGAATAACTAAGATTTCATGCATGATCGTCATTGAAGGAGACGGCGGTCATGCATTGATATCACCTCAATTGATGAATTATTCTGTGCCGATAAGGACGCCGTCCGGAAGTGAATCATAACGTGTTAAGTCACCCATTTGTTGTGTACCATGTGACGTGGCTCATTCTGATTCGTCTCCGCACAGTCTGGTGTCCGCATATAATTATTTCTAACTCCATTGAGGGAGTAGCAATAGTGGCGGAGCTAAAGGAGGCCCACCAACAAAAGAAAAAAAATATATAATTATTTTTTTTATTTTTATATTATTAATAATTACAAAAAAGTTAATCACATTTATTCTTCTATTTATCCCCTTATAACTCTTTTATATCGAAATAAATTACAATCTCAAACATGAATACAAAAAATTAAGAAAATATTTGAAAAATCTAGTTTGTGCCTGCTCGGAGAATATATTATTACCAAATTATGTTCAAAAAATGAAGTGAATTACATTTATTTTGGAGAATTCTTAAGTATTTACATGTCTACCATATAAATCTTTATAATTACTCATATAATATCATAATTACTAAATTATATTTAAAATATATAAAAAAAGACATTTTTTTAGATAAATTAACCATATAGATTTTTTTTTAAAAAGAAATTTGAAGATTTTTTTACTTCAAAGGACAGTAAATTCACAGCTTAAATGAGTTGAATGGAGTTTGAATTAAAACTGAGCTGAGTTCTTTTAATTTAGCTGGAGTGATGAAGAAGATGATTCCAAGCATAGGCATAAGCAAAAGATGATATCAGATCTGGTATTCTTATCGTGCAGCTCAGACGTCCAGACCAGTTCAGGTACGTCAAGGTTGGCCCGTGGGAGGAGAGAGAAGAAACGAATCAGATTCTTTGCTTCAGAGCTCGCATGGCTCTCTCCACACCAGGACGAAACAGAATGAAACCAAAAATTCTTTTACTGACAGAACTATTCCCACAATTAAATCATCCCGTCTCAAAATCTTCACATCATAATAATGATTCTCAAAGACAATTATCCGACTAAAACACGATTATAAGTCTGTGATCTGTGATTTTTCCTCTTAAACATTCACATCTGGTTATCAATGGGGGAGAAAATTGAGAAAGGAGAAAAAAGATGGCAGCTTTGGTGTTAAAAAACGGATCTTTAGTTTCTTTTCTCCCTGGATCATTTGAAACCCAAGTTCCAGATGGAAACCGCTGCCGTTGATGACGACGACGAAGATGAAGGAAGTCGCCGGTGACGCTCAGAAGTAGCCGTTTCGGCCGAGATGGAGGAGATATCCGCCGCATTTGGGGCAGGCCTCGACGCGCTTTGGTACCATGAAGTACATGAAGCAGGACTTGCAGCCGGCGGCAACGAGGACTTGACTGCCGGCGGTGGAGCAGTCCGCGGAGCCGGCTTCGGCCGAGGAAGAGGTAGACGCTCCATAGGCGACGCCCGAAGAAACTTCGGCATTGATGCCGTAGAAATCATCATAGTCTGCGCCTTCGGCGACTGAACTGCTGCTATCCTCGGCGTCGCAGTAGTCTTCGTCTTCTTCCTCGGCTTCCTCATCTTCTAAATCAGAGATCTCCTCCTCCTCCGACGAGAAGTAGCTCGTCCGGCACCTGGTTGTTGTGAGACGAGGATCCTCGCTTGTCCTCGTCCCATCCTTCCAGTTTATGTAGTAAAGCTCCCCAGTCTGACAGCAGAAACATAAACCAGTGAAACAGATCAATACCAAATGCTATAATAGTTTCAAACTTTCCATTAAAATGAGAAACATCATATCCTTAATTTGAACAAAATCAACATAATAAATGCTCGAAGTCTAAAGGAGGAAACTTTGAAGGAAATATAGGATAAAGAATGTAACAGAAGAGGAAGATAACGAAAATGTCAAGCAAAAACCAGGTGAAATGGGGATAAGGAGAGAGAGAGAAGAGAAATCCATATAGAAACAAATCTTGCTTCATAATTCCTGAACTAGATTTTTGCCTTTATAAGCTATAGAGAAAGAGAGGAAGACCAAAAAAAAAAAAAAAAAAAAAAAAAAAACAGATACAAGGCAAGAGAAAAGGTTAGAAGGCAATTAATTGGACGCCGTTAAGTGTTTGGAAGAGAGCTGGGTAGCCCCGCGGGAGCATTAATGATCAATGATTGGAAGAAGAACGAGAACAAAGTAAAACAGCTAGAAGAAGAAGAGAGGCATTTAAAGATGGGAGAATGAGAAAGAGAGAGAAGCATGGATTGGTACAAAATAGGTACCCTCAAGTCAAGGCATTGTTCCCAGTGGTAGGGAAGCGCCACCTCCGAGTTGAGTTCTACAGTAACTCCGTCGTAATCCACGGTTTCCTCCACTGCGGGTGGCCGACTCTCCGCCGCCGCCGCAGCCGGCTGACGTTCCGGCGACTCTGTCCTCCCGCCAAGCGAGCAGCTCCTCAGCGACGCCGCTATCGCCTCTATGTTTGGCGCCGTCATACCCGCTGGAGCAAAGGTAACCACCAAGGCGAAGAATGAGGGGGGAGAGTGTGACACAGAGAGAGATGTGATTGTGGGGAAGAAGAAAGTTACAAAGAAAAGGAGTTAAAAGGAGGAGGATATATTGGGAACCGCCCGGTGAAAAAGGATTTTCCAAAAGGACAAATTTTTATATTAGCAAACAACTAATACTCAGATCAACAACGCATCTCCGCCGTGAAATCTCAGGATCGCAAATTTACTGCGACGCCATGCTGGTAATTTTCTAAGCACTTTTCTAAGGATTATTTGATTATTAACTAGTCTATTGATTGAGAGCTTTTGCTAACAATCAAGATTTTGGGATTAGTCTTGTGTATGTGATATATGTGTAAATTTATTTTAATTGGCTTAAATTTTTTGAAAAAAATTATTGGAACTTTATATCTCTATTTTGAAGAAAAATAATAACACTCAATTAAGTGATTGATGATATTATGAGTATATGACTTATCATAAAGGGTGAAAAAAATGAGTTTTTGAAGACCATATTTAGAGTTTGCAAAGTCTTCTAATCTATCAAAATGATTAAATTATAAGTTCATTATGATGATTAATGGTAGTGTCATATGTTAAGTAAAAATGTGTGAAAATTGTTTAAGTTTGTTCTAAGATTGAATATTATGATGGTAGAGGAAGAGAGTTTATCGTTGTAGCATCAATTGGTAATTCATACATAGTAAAAAATATAAAATATAAATTTTATGGGAAATTTTAAAAAAGAAAAAAAATCAAGGTATCTAATCTACCTGAAGTAGATTTCATAGGCCATGGCTATGAAATTTTAATGCTCAGCCTTTCTTGAAACTAGAGAATGAGTAAATATAATAAAAGGCTCGCAATTTGTGATGAAATTCACATTTGATGTTGATGAATGTTGTTTGGAGGCATTAATGAATGGTTTTGCATGATGATTTGAATGATCTCCTATCTTGGATAGGAGAGGGGATCAAACAACCTAGAATCAATGACTGGCTATGTATGGTTTGAATAACCCCTTTCATGCATAAGGGGGAGCTAAGCAATGTGAACATGATAAAAATGATCCATAACCGTCAATGGAACAAAGTTATCACCAACTCATTAACAGAGGAAAATAAATGAGTCGAAAGGTGAGCCTCCAAGTTGAGTTACTTTAATGAAGAATGGTGGAGCCTAGTCTATAAAAAAAATGTTATATTAGGGATTGAAAATAGAGAAGAGAGTAAACATAATAAGTACTAAAGGGGTTTATCCAATTGGTCCATGCATGCATACTATAGGGCACAAGAATAATAGGCTTCATTATGTTGGATGACGAAGAAAGAGAAAACAAGCTCTTTGAGCCTCTCCATTCTTGATCTCTAATGTTAAAGTATAATGAATTAGTGTTAACAAATGTCTCAAAAAAAAAAAAAAATCATTCTTAAGGTAGAAAGAGTTATTTTTATAATTAAAACATAAATTAGAAGTAATATTGAGGTGGTTGATGACAAGCATATGATGTACAATCAATTTTAGCAGCGACAAAGAACATGTTCCATGTGACAAGATGGGGGAATTCATGCACCAAGTGACAATGTATAAATGGATGATTGACATGTGGTATGCTACTTGTGTTTTAATAACATAAAGGTAATGTACCTCTATACCCCATAGAGTTTACATAATATATATCATATTAAAAAATTATGCTAGAGAAGAAAGTATTGAATTTCCTTGTTGAAGTGTTGAAGAAATCACAACAACAAAAATGCAACAATAAAATAAGTGAAACCAATATCATATAAATGAAAGAAAAAAGGTCAAACTCTTCCAACCCATGTTGATGATTCCTGATGATATATTCTAACTTGCCCCAATCTTATAAGTGTTGCAAAGATAATCATTGTGGATGATGTCTACTAAACACATAAGAAGGTGAGCAATTTAATTGAACACTACAAGAAGACCTCGGTTTACCGTAGCATATTCTGCCGGTAACTTTACGACATAATCTTGATTGTGTGAAAATTGTTCTAAGATTGAATATTATGATGGTAGAGGAAGAGAGTTTATTGTTGTAGCATCAATTGGTAATTCATACATAGTAAAAAATATAAAATATAAATTTTATGGGAAATTTTAAAAAAGAAAAAAAATATTGTATCTAATCTACCTGAAGTAGATTTCATAGGCCATGGCTATGAAATTTTAATACTCAGCTTTTCTTGAAACTAGAGAATGAGTAAATATAATAAAGGGCAATTTGTGATGAAATTTACATTTGAAGTTGATGAATGTTGATTGGAGGCATTAATGTGAATGGTTTTGCATGATGATCTTAATGATCTCCTATCTTGGATAGGAGAGGGGATTAAACAACCTAGAATAAATGACTGACTATGTATGGTTTGAATAACCCCTTTCATGCATAAGGGGAAGCTAAGCAATATGAACATGATAAAATTGATCCCTAACCGCCAATGGAACAAAGTTCTCACCAACTCATTAACATAGGAAAATAAATTGGCCGAAAGGTGAGCCTCCAAGTTGAGTTACTTTAATGACGAAGGGTGGAGCCTAGCCTATAAAAAATGTTATATTAGGGATTGAAAATAGAGAAGAGAGTAAACATACAAAGTACTAAAGGGGTTTATCCAATTGATTCATGCATGCATGCATGCATACTATAGGGAAGAAGAATAATAGGCTTCATTATGTTGGATGAAGTAGAAAGAGAACACAAGCTCTTTGAGCCTCTCCATTCTTGATCTCTAATGTTAAAGCATAATGAATTAGTGTTAACAAACGTCTAAAAAAAAAAACCCATTCTTAAGGTAGAGAACCGTCCGTTCTTTCGAACTCTTCAAGTGTTGGCAGAGAACTGTCCGTCTTTTCACACTCTCCAAGTGCGGGCAGAGAACCCTTCGGCTGTTCACACTTTCCAAGTGTAGGCAGAGAACACTTTGTCCTTTCACACTCCATGAGTGTCGACAGAGAACCGGATCTCCTTGACAGATTTTCTCACAAGAAATCTAGAAGGACGAGAGAAAAGAGTGAAGTAATCAAAAATCACAATTGGATATTCTTACCTTCGAGTATCAAATGAATCCTTCACGCTCTAGTAGTAAGAATCCTCCTTCAAACACTCTCTCATACTCCCTCCTTCACTCTTCCTTTAGTTTACACGAAGATTAGTAGGTAAAAAGATTACATGATAGTTTTAAGTGGACCTTATATAGAAAAGACACGAAAAACTGTCAAAAAACTGCTGACTTTCAAGTCTGTACACAGTCGATCGTCCCGGACGATCGTCAGATCGTTTTGTATGAATAGTGTAAAAACAGTTGCATATAAACCCAATGTATATTGGTACGAACTGACTTCGTACCCGATCATCGTCCCGTACGAACTAAGTTCGTCTTGAGACGAAAAGTTATATCAAGGGTTTGTTCGGACAAAACTGCAGGACGGTCCCAAATTTTTAAGGAACAGAGGACATCGTCCTGGGACGAAGATATATGAGTGTTTGTTTGGAGGAATAGTTCATGTCATGTGTCCATAGAACTTCGTCCTGATACGAACAAGATTAATCGTCTGGACTATCAGCACAAAGTGAAAATCCAGAGCCAATCTTCCTGGGACGAATTATGCACTTCGTTCGGACGATCAATACAAAGTGAGAAATCCAGAGCCCATCATCCTGGAACGAATGGTACACTTCGTCTAGATGAACAGTTCAAAGTGAGAATCCAGAGCACATCGTCACGGGATGAATACGGAAATTCGTCTGTACGATCAGGACTTAGAAACATTTTCTCAGTTCATGTTCGTTCCATTGCTCTTCCGAGGGGATAACTGACCTGATCGTCCCGTATGAAGTTGGTTCGTCCCATACGATCAGTATGGTTTTTTAAAGATCTCCCCAAGTGTGTGTGAGCTATGCTACTCAATTACAATTACAATCTCTCAAACTCAATAGAATGAAAAATACAGACTTCAATTTACAAACTATGATGTGCTGAATTTGATTTGAAGTCCTCAGTAGTCTAGAGTACGATTATCCTGAAATTTTAGTCCACACAAGAGCAAAAATAATTCTTCTAAAAAGTGTTAGGAGAATATAATACTTAAAACAATAATATTTGGAATCATCAAAACTAAACAAGTTGTAAGAATGTAAAACATGCAAATAACAACTCTCTTAATACATATATCCTCTTGCAAATGTCTAATGAAAAAATTCATGAAAAAAATAAAATCTTACAGTGAAAGAAGTCAGCGATTGAGGCGGCGAACGTCGGCAAACTAAGTCGAAGTTAGTTGGGTGAAGGGTTGGTCTCGACAACGGCGATGTTCGACAGAGGCGATGGAGGTGACATGAAAGAAGGGAAATAAACCCAACTAACGCCGGAGGCGGTGATCGTCGGCAAAGTGCAGTGTTAAATCAAAAAAAAAAAAAAAAAACTTACGATGGATTTTCCTCAAAACAGTGACGTTTTGTCGGTGACGGATGCGGTGAGCATCGGCAAAGTCCGTGGAAGTCTAGACGGTCTTGGCGATGGCGAGGTTCGCTGGGGTGACGACGACGAGTAGAGATGAAATCAAAACGACGAATGAAATAATGAGCCAGACGGGCTTGGGAAAGAAATACGGCTTTAACCGACGGATTCTCCGGCGAAAACTACGTCGGTAGTGTTTCCGTCGGTTTTTTTGATGGTAATTTTTCGTTGTGTTTAAAATGACCGGCATAATATCCGTCGGTACATACACCGGTAATTTCCGGCATGAAATGCGCCGTATTATACAATTTGCTTACATATTACAATGTATTTTTCAGCAGAAATGTCGTCGGAATCATACCGACGTAATTTTCACCGGTAAATATGTCGTAATATTACCGTCGCATAAAACGCCAATAAAAATGTTGTAGTTTCCGCCGTATACATATCCGCCAGAAGCTCCGACGCTAATCGTGCATTCTCCTATAATGCATTACTTAATCACATACTCAAATTTATTTTTAATGTGTTGCAGTAAATAAAATATAATTAAACTTAATTCAGAAAAGTGCTCAAATGTCTTAACGGTAGGCAACCGAAAACCTACTTAATAGACATTTACATTTTTAGAAATTATCAAATTACCTAAGGTCATGCATAATAATATTCTAAAACTTTAATTGAACAAAAGCATTATTTTTTATGTCTAAATAAATGTCTGAATTGGTAAAAATATTATTTTTTAAAAATCACATGAAAAAATCTCAAATAAATATTCAAAACATTCATAATCTCAATATTGATAACTTATAAAAAATTACGTACTTAAGCTTTGCTAACATAAAATTATCCACATTTTATAAAAAAATTCCAAAATTATCAAAATTTTGAAATAAAAAAATAGGTTAATAATTCCTTACAATTAGACGAGCATATCTTCCAATTGGACCGATTGACGAAAATTGTTCTATGGCCTCCAAACCCTAGATTGCTTATTCTCTCTCCTATATTTTCTCAATTTCCCCTAAGTCTTTTATGATAGCTGATTGAATAAAGGAAATGGTTTTAAGAAATAAAGATTAAGTGTTTATGATAAAATAATAATGTAATAATAATATAATAATATAATTTAATCAGTATATAATTTATAAAATCATTTTGGATTTTCAAAAATTATAAAATAATATTCATAAATAGCCAAATTTATTTAAATTTTTTGTGAAAGTTTGTAAAATGAACATGCACCTAATGATCCCAAAGTCCTTACTTGTACCGAAACCTATGTTCCTACTTTTACCAACTTGTGTCATTTTTTTTTTGAGGATTTGCAACAATGCTAAAAAATTATGAAAAAATTAGTTAATTAAATCACTATAATATCTATGTTATGACGAATATAGTTTGTTATTTGGACTTATAATGACTCCTAATTTTTTTTTTAAATTTAATTTTATCAAAATACGAGCTATTACAACATCTCCCCGTTATTGAAGGTAGTGGAAGCGAGGGCTTCATTATCATCGACACAACTGAAAGAACAAACACCGATCGATGATGAATCCAATTTTTATAAAATTTTATGTATAACTATGAGAATGTGGACATCCTTGAAAGCATCTATCTGATCATCCTCAATCACTACAACCAAGTGAACATAATAAGAATCCCCCATTTAATGAGAATCTAGCATATTCTTATTGGTTATCTCTTAACTAATAAAGATATTATCTAATGGGGTAAGCTTACTACCTCTACTTTGGTATCAAAAATACAATGGAGATAACTTATAACTCTATAAAACTAAACACTCTTATCATAATAGAAGGTGTCACCATGGCAAGCTCATTAAAGAAGCTAAGATGTAAAGGCATAAATCATATTAGGGTATGTTTGTTGACATCATTTTTTTTATCTTGATTTTCCTGCGAGCTTGTTCGATCAGATTAGTTGAGTCTCGTCGATAATATCTTTATGTCAGCTAAATAATTTTGAACCAAGTCTAAATTGCTTGAAGGCTAAAGGTTATCTTATGCCAGCTAAATAATTTTGAACCAAGTCTAAGTCACTTGGAAACTCATGTGCCTCTCAAGTATAAACAAGGATGAAGAGTAATAAAAATTGAGGAATGAGGGAGAGAAATATTTGTCAGTATATTATTCATAAATCCATAGGCTTTGAAAGTGCTCATAAGCTCAAGTTATCCACTTTTAACTCTTTTTGAAGCTTTAAGAATGGATGTAGATTATAATGGTGTGATTACATTGAGATTAGACCACAAAGATATATATTAGATAGAAAGTGAGTTATATAAAGTTTCTCTTAATTCTTATGGACTAAGGTTTCCTATGGGTATAAGGCCTTATGCTTAGTTAAAACCTAGATTTGATGTCATAGAATACTCATTAATGATATCAATATTATTAATCAAAATAGCATAGGAAAGGCTCTCCTTGTTTTTTGTAATTTTGGTGCTTGCATTAACAATTATCCATATTTTGAAAGCATTAATATGACTACTAGAGCTTTCATGGATTTTTCATAAGTAACTATTTCTCTTTAATAAAAATTTTAAAGCAATTTTTTTTTTCTAAATTCATTACATAATCTTAAATTATATTGATAGGAAGCTTCTCAGATGGTGTTTGATTGATATTCTTGCTCCTTGAATCTTATAGCACAAGTTTGCTTGAGGGGTTAAGGGCTAAAAAAACTTTGATTGCAAATGAAATGAGTATAATAGAATTTGCCTTGAATTGTCAGAATCTGTCTGCGATGACATTTGATTGATGAGTTTTTACCATTATAATATTATTTATTAAATTGCTTGCTATGTGTTAATCTAATAAGTACTTGATATCCAATTATATTATTAAGAATATAATTAATTAGTTATTTTTTTAAATAACTAATTATTTAGCTAATACACCTACTAATAATTTAATTAATTTAAAATATTATTTAATTATTTTTAATTATTTGTTATTTTATTAAATATCTCATTAATCATTTAAATATTTTTTAATTAATTTACTTAATTATTAATATTTTAAATTATATTAATTAAGTTAATCAATAATAACTTAGAGGCGCCTAGGGTTTGCCTTTCATCTTCTCTTTTCGGCTTCGTTGCTTCGCAGGAGCTGTAGAGATTGCACGAGTCGCTTCTTCGGCTCCTTCGTTGCTGTTCGACTTCGCTTCTTCGACGACTTTACCTTCGTGTCGGATCGGAAGTACAACATTTTGATTGGAAGCAACAACGGGAGCTAGCTGGCTGTGAAGGTAACTTTCTCCCTTTCGCGCGCTTCTTCGGCCGAATTCTGTAAATCCGCCGAACTAGAGGATTTAGTAAATCAGGGATTTACGGAAAGAGGGAAACGGAAGATTTATTCCGCCGTGAGATTTACGGGGCGATCAAATCCCGTTTGACAGGTTTAGCATAAATCCTGCTCAAATCCTGCATAAATCCTGATGCCAAACAGCCCCTAAAGGATGCTTGTTTGCCTCATTTGACGACGTCGGATCAGAAGTCACGACGGGAGCTCGCCGCGAAGGTAACGAACTTTCTCCCTTTGGCGCGCTTCTTTGACTAAATCCCGTAAATGCGCCGAACCATCGGATTTACCAAATCCGGTTTTAAGGCAAAACTGAGAAGAAACGAGATTCTGTAGGATTTAAAGTTGTCTTTTTTGCTGGTTGCAGGATTTATGCTAAATCCTGCTTAAATCTTGCATCCAAACAGCCCCTTAATTTCTTAAATAAATTTTGGCGGTCATAGCAGAAGGTTCTATGAAAATTTGCTTGTTTGTTTCATTTACTTATCCAAATTATCAGTTTTCTTTTTATGTATTGGTAGACAGTCAAGTTGAACGTTTTTATTGCAAAACAAAGAGTGGGTCTTCTTACTGTTCTGCCAAGGTCACCTTCGTAACCCTTTCAGTTGGATTGTCTCGAAGAAGAACTCTATTATGATTATTTGCCTGAAATTATTCTATATTAGAGTTAGGGGCCAAAATTTTCATATATATGAAAATTTAAAAACAGCCAGTTGTATCTGTATTTTTAGTCATTTTCATATAAATGGACTAATATTGTGCCACTGTAGACCAAGGGCTAGACGGTACCCCTAGTTATCATTGTGGAATATTAGATGTCTACTTCAACATCTTATAAATGACTACAAATACAGATACAACATTTTGCAACATGAAAACTACTACTTCAACTATGCAGAAACCAAAGGTGGCTATGAAACTTAATCATTTGATGTCAAACAAATATAAAGCTAAGGATACTGCTAGTGCCATATGGTCAAGTGTCGCCCCAACAAAGCAATTGAACAAGCAGATCATGGCATAGTGCCATTGTAGACCAAGCATAGCAAATGAAAGCAAAATAATAGAATGGAAAATAGAATAACAATATCTACTCAACAATTTTCAACTTTTAATATACAAATAACATCTAAAATAGCTGATTCCACCTAAATAATTAGAAAAAAAACTATTGTGCAATGGAAAGAAGGCAAGCATAAAATTGAACTCTTCGTTTCACATTAGCATCACTATACTCACATAGGACAAAAACAAGATATGAAAATACACAATAATACGAAGTTAGGTTGAAAAGGGGAGGGGCGACGGGATCTTACCGATCATAGCGCGAAGAAATGAGGTTGTGAGAGGCAAAAGGAAGCGAGGGTGCGAGAGGATCAACCGATCCGGAGCTTCGACTTGCACAGTTGCACCTGATTTCAGACGGACAAAGTGAGGCGGTAAGAGGGGAGAAGCGAGATCGCGAGAGGCAAGAGAACCAAATGCGGGTGGCTCCTATGCGTGAAATAATCGGTTAGGGAAAGACCAAATTATCAAATAACCCTAGTTTTTTATTTTTTTAGGGGGGGTCAATTGCCCTCCTGGGCAAAGGAGATATTCGCCCCTGAATCAAACTAAGCGGAGCAAATAGACGCAGGATGACTCGAAGGGGTTGTTTGATCATCAGAATTTTATCAAGATTTAAACCAAATCGTTCATAACAACAAAAATAACAATTTTAAATTCTACATAATCTTAAACCCTTTTTCTCTGCAAGACGACTCGAAGGGGCAGTTTGGTATGGGACTTGAAGCAGGATTTCCAATAAATCTTGCCAAACGGAGAAAAATGGACATCTTCACGACGAATACATCCTCCATTTATACTTTTTTCCCTAAATCCCGGATTAACTAAATCATATGGTTCGGCGACTTTATTAGGATTTATCGGATTTAGCCGAAGAAGAGCGCGAAAGGGGAGAACGATGGTTACCGTCGCAGCTAACAAACTCCCGTCGTCGTCAAAGAATTAGAAGACCGTCGTCGAAGGAACGTCGTTAAAATAATCGATGTGTTAGAAGCTCTATCTCACACGACCTGCGAAGCGAAACGAAAAATGGAGAAGAGGAAAGCAAACACTTCTCTATTTTTTAAATTAGTAAGCATATTATTGATATAAATAAATTACTATTATTTTTGATTTGATTTGATTTGATTTAATTAAGACTTCATTTGAAATTGCTTTCTTTATGCTTATTAAAGCAATTTTTTAGTAAAAAAAATTATTGTTTTACTAAAAAATTGCTTTAAAAAGAATAAGAAAGACGTCCCAAACAAAACCTAGATATAAGTTATTAAATTCAATAAGCATCTAATGTTCAAAAATATAGGATTTAAGACCTATTTATAGCCAATGAGCTTAGAGAATAAAAAAATTTAAGTACATAGCTTGGGCATTGACTACCTAAGAATAAAAGATCATCATAGCATCTAAATATTTGATATTGGGCACCCTAATAACTTTACAATGTCAACTAACTAAATACCCCAATATAACAAAACAAAAAGCTGGCCTATAAAAATATTTAATTTTTTTTATTATATGAGAGACCTTTTTAATGACCAAAAATGGCTGGGAGGCTAGTAAAGTTGTAAAGGTATAAATGTTCCAAACTATCATGATGTAATAAATATTATAGTGATTTGTTAATTATTTAAATGATATGATATGATATGTATGATCAAATACCAATTCTAGAGGTACAATGCCTCTTTTCAGTATATTATTTATTGAAGTTTCAAAATAGAAAGAGCTAAATTTGTATCTATGTACGCTTGATGAATTTCTTAAGTGTTTTTATCTGTTAATTGATAGTATTTCATCTGTCATGGTTTTCTGATACTTATATGGTTAGTTAATCTACTGCTTTTGTATTGATTTAGCTGGTAGTAAACTGCTTTATTATATTTATCGTTTCTTCTTGACCTTTTTTTTAGTTGTCAGAATGTGTTTCTAAAACTAGTGTTTAGTAAAATTATGCATCGTTATGCATTGTTTCCTCACACACTTTGTGAGTATGTGAAGAAATACTTATTCAAAGGTTTATGAGTATATGAAGAGATACTTATTCAAAGGTATTCATTTTACCAAATAGTTTGGATATTGCTAACGATGATGATGATGATGTGCAGAACATAAGTGATGTAACATCGACTCAGAATCTCTTAATGGAGGAAGAAGACGAGGACAAATGGTTGCTGAATAGTTTGGGTGTCACATCTGTTGCTCCTGAAACTATTGAGCGTGATCTATTTACACAGGTAACTATTGTTCCTCAATATGCCTTTTAAGGCTCTGGATAGTTTAAATTACTTGAGATTGTCGTAATTTACTGGTTGTGTGAGTTCTTTTCATTAACTCTCTGCATACCTTATGAGGTCAACCAAAGATTTAAGAGGAAAGTTAAATGCGTAATTGTACTGAATATCTTTGTTGTTTCCTTGTTATACGTTCTTTTTTATTCCCTTGGTATAGGATTATACTTGCGTAGTTAATCATCGTACATAATTATTAAACTAAGAATGGCACGATATTTTGGGGGGCTTTCTTGTTCTGATGTTGTGTTTAGTTTAGTAATTTAGTATGCTAAAAAATTAGTTTGTTTAAGAAGTTCATAAGAATTTCAGCCAAAAATACAAAATCCTTTTTTTTTACTGTATATGGGAATTTCTAGATCAATTTAGTTGTTATCAAAAGTCATTAGACTTGGTTCGACTTCAACGCCTTTTATGATGGTCGAGCTTAGAATTTTGACTTTTTAACTAATTTTCTTGATGCTAATATTCATTATTTTAGTTGATTGTTTATCCGGTTATTTTGTTGTAGGTGGTTCTTAATCGTAATTTATGTTTATTTATATATATCATATTATATTGAAGTCTTGTGTCTGAGAGGAACCATTTTATCATTGTTTGACTCTTTTTATTCTCATATGATAGCATTTTGGTATATTTAGTAGTAATGCTTCGGAAGCTTCTTTTTCTTTAATTCAGTGGACCTTTTTTATTCATGTTGCTGCTCTCTTATTTATCCTTAACTGAAAAAAAAGTTAGGAAAGGAAAATTTTATCCAAAAAAAAAGTCTTTTAATGCTGCAGGCAATGATCCAGAGACTTTGTTTTGGAAGTAGTATTCATCTTTCTTAGCTCTTTAATGAAACACTCTCTGTGAAGGTCATTTTTTCATTAATTGTTTGATAAATAAATTCATTTGAAAGTAAAATGTGTTTGCACAGGTTAGTAAATTATTAACAAAAAAGGGAAATTTAACAGAAAATTTCTTTTGGTATATTTAACTGCATGATAAATGAAGTTTGAATGCTGAAAAACGTTATTTTCTCATGTGCTAATTTTCTTTCTTTGAAATCTTACTGAGTTTTGGTGTAAATTGTGAGCTCAACAGATTTGGATGCATTTATTATTCACAAATGATTCATCCGCAGTGCTTGGACAGTTGGATAAAAGAAATGCTTCCGAATTTGTTAGTGTTTTTTTTCCCCTCTACAAACAACCGTGTTAGAAATATTGACCATTAAAATTTCAAGGGTAGAACCTAAGGTTAAATTAATAAATATTGTTCAAAATCATTTCTAAAGAATGGATTTGATACCTCAGACGGCTATGAACATGAACAAATGAAGAATATGATTCATAATGTCATCTCATATAGTTGGGAGAACAATAATAATGATGGTGATGAAATTTTCAAATAATAAATTTTTATCATATTCTAAATATCTTTTTAGGCTTAGAAAATTTGCTTTATTATTGAAGAACTAATTTAGTTTTACATTGAGAAGATCTACTTTAGGGACAGAATGCAAAGTGAGTATATATATATGAAAAGGTTAAAGTAGCTATAGTGGCAAATAAGATTAGATAGAGTTGTCTTAGATGGTTTATTCACATAAAGTGTCGGCCTTCTGATGACCCGATTAGCAGAGTAGATGTATTAGATTTGGTCTATGCTAAGAAAAGTAGAGGTAGACCTAAAAAGGCTTGGTTAATATTAGAAATAATATTTTTTTATTAGATTTAAATGAGAATTTGACTCTTAACAGGATACACAATGAAGAAAAATGATTCATGTTGTTGACCCCACGTAGTGGGATAAAGGCTTGATCTTGTTGTTGTTATTGAGAAAAATCTATTTCTAACATGATTTTGTATTAAATGATTACAATTTAGTATCATAAGCACTATTTTAATGGCATTAGTAGTCATCAAATGATAAAATATGCATGTAGAATGTAATGTTAGCCATTAAAAGAGAAGCATAATATTAAGATAAGTGTTGTAGAGATGAGGATGCTCAGGTGGATGAGTGACTTTGGTCTTAGAGACAGGATATGAAATGAGCATATACGTTAAAAGGTTTGAGTAGCTCCAGTAGAAGATAAGATTAGAGAGAATCGCCTTAGATGATTTGGTCCCGTAAAACAACGACCTTCCGATGACTCGGTTAGGAAAGTAGATGTATTAGATTTGGATTATATTAAAAAAGGTAGAGATATATCTAAAAAGGCTTGGTTATAAAATATTAGAAATGGCCTTTCTTTATTAGATTTTAATGATAATTTGACTGAGAAAAAAGGGTTCATGTAGCCGACCCCATATGGTGGGATAAAGGCTTGATGATGTTGTTGTAGTAATTTAAATTTGTATTTTTTGACTACAATTTGTTGTGTTTGTGAAGTGGCCAAATAATTTTCCAACCACAGTAGGGTTTCATCAATGATGAACGATAAATTTTAATGCTTTGGCATTGGTTATAAAGAAACATGTAAAATTTATTAAGGTGAACTAAAAAGGAGTATGCTATTTGCAAAGCATAGTTTGTATATGTGAGATGTTTTTTGAACTTAAAAAAAGGCTGGGTTAATAAAAAATTATTTGAAAATTTGAACAACTAAGTCAATTTTTAGAAGATCAGGGGCTTATGATTGGTAGAACAAATGCCATGTACATGATACAAATAATATTTGATTTGGAATATATAATTATTTTTGACAATGATGGAAGATTAAGTGAGACCTAAGTGCAATATATTTAAGTACTATTGATCTATAATACCATCATGATGAGAATATTATTGAGAATATTGTTTTATTTATAGAAAATAATTACATGTGCAAATATATGCGACTTAAGAATATAATGGAGTTTTTGCAGTTTGATTAATTATTATTTATGACATGAAATATTAAGCAATAAAATTGATCGATAACTAAGTTTATTTTAGAATAATTGAGAATATTGAAATTAACTTGTGGTAAAATTAGAAAGGATTAAAGATAGTGTTATTAAAGGTATTAGACACCTTAAGGTGACCGGATTGCCTAACTAATGCCAGGCACTAGGTACTTGCTTAGGAGATCGGGGTGCTAAAAGTTTCACATAGTTTAATTATGAAGAATGGTATGCAAATTTATTATCATCCTGATTAAATTTAAAATTTATTAGTAAAAAGCGAACATATCATAGTTTTGTATCTTTCTAAATACCAAAATTATAAAATTTTATTAAATAGTTTGTCTAAAACAAATTACCTATAGGACTCAGAAATTATATTTAAAGTTTAAACTAGTAGGTAAAAAATTTGGTTGGTAGCTTAATCCAATATTTGCCCCTTTTTATTTCATTCCTTCATCACATACTGTCTTCTATATTATTAGATTTATGGCCTGTCATCTTCATCACATAGTGGGACAAAGGCTTGTTGTTGTTGTATGGCCTGCCATCTCATAACATGGTTTTGTATGCTTTAAACATATTAAAAAAATTGCATCATAGAGGCAAGCACCCGAGTACCTAGTGCCTTACACCACGGCTCATATGATGGCACCAACCTGGGAGATTTTTAAGGCAATGGAGTGCCCCCTTGCCTAGCTCGGATGCCTTGGAAAGCACCTAGCTCTCCTTGGATCACACTGATTGAATGATAGAAATTGAAATTATATTGGAGAGATGATGAATGTAACACTTAAGTTTAAATAGTGTTTTAGGCATTTCCAAAGAAGCGCCTAAATATATTCTAATAAAGAGGGTAGATAAAATTATGTGAGAAACAAAGGAAACAAAAAAGTAGACCAATTATAAAATGGTAAAAACTTATTAAGAGTACAACAACAACAACAAGCCTTTATTCCACTATGTAGGGTCGGCTACATGAATCCTTTTTCTTCATTGTGTCCTATTAAGAGTCAAATTCTCATTTAGATCTAATAAAAAAATGTCATTTCTAATATTTTCTAATCAAGTCTTTTTAGGTCTACCTCTACCTTTCTTAACATAGGTCAAATTTAATACATCTACTCTCCTAACCAAGTCATCAGAAGGCTGCCGTTTTATATAAGCAAACCATCTAAGACGACTCTCTCTAATCTTATTTGCCACTGGAGCTACTCCAAAATTTTCACGTTTATGCTCATTTCGTATCCTGTCTCTAAGAATAAAGGCAGTCATTTACCTAAGCATCCTCATCTATGCAACACTTAACTTAATATTATGCTTCTTTTTTAATGGCCAACATTCTGCGCCATAAAGCATTGCAGGTCTAACTACCATCTTAAATTTTCCCTTAAGTTTGAGTGATACTTTTCTATCACACAACAAGCTCGATGTATTCCTCCACTTCAACAATCCAACTTGAATTCTACTAATAATATCCTCATCTATTTCACCATCACTCTGAACAATAGACTGAAGATATCTAAAACATGTGCTCTTATTAATGACTTAATCTCCCAAAGTCACAATCCCCGTACTAGATCTATTATTATTAAAATTACACCCCATATATCCAGTTTTAGATCTATTCAAACGAAAGCCTTTAGACTCTAAGGTTGACCTCCGTAATTCAAGTTTACCTTCAAGTCCCTCTCTAGTCTTATCCACAATAAGAATATCATTAGCAAAAAGCATACACCCGGGTACAACCTCTTGCAAATGTCTAGTGAGAACATCTATGACTAAAGCAAAAATATATGGGCTTAAGGCTGATCCTTGATGTAATCCTACTGAAATAGAAAAATACTTGGTCAAACAACCTTGTGTTTGAACACAAGTAACAGCTCCTGCATACATATCCTTAATGACTTGAATATAAACTTATTAACCCCTTTCTTATGTAGAACTCTCTATAACACTTCTCTTGGAACTTTATCATATGCTTTCTCTAGATCAATAAAAAATCATATGTAGATCAATTATTCTCTCTATACTTCTCCATCAAACCTCTCAATAAATGTTTAGCTTCCATAGTAGACCTGCCTGGCAGGAATCCAAATTGATTTTGAGAAACATTAGTGTCACGCCGCAACCTATGCTCCATAACTCTTTTCCATAGTTTTAAGTATGACACATTAACTCAATTCCTCTATAATTCACACAATCTTGTGCATCACCTTTATTCTTAAAAATAGTAAAAACTTATGAAGAGTACTTGCACAAAATAAAATTATTGGCCCTTGTAGCATTAAATAGATGGATGACTTGGAGTAAAGCTCTGGCTACCTACTTTATAACATTTATTGCCCCTTTTAGCATTAAATAGATGGAGGACTTTGAGTAAAGCTCTGGCTACCTACTTTATAACATAGGACTCAGATGATTTGAATTACAAAAAAAAAAAAGTACCTTTCTGCAAAGTGGAGCTAAAGCTCTATAGCTACTCTATATGCCTCCCATTTGTGGAAGTCCAATGGATTTAGCTTAACTTTTTTTTCTCTCTTTTTACCTCATTTTTTCCTTAACTTTAAATATTGTAGGAGTAGGGACGATCCCTATAGCTGACACCAGGCTAAAGATGATGCATGCTAAGCCAGATGGAAGGAATTACTTGGGTTCTTTGGAGTTCAGGTTCTCTCTATAGATAATGTGTTTGTCACCTACTATGAAAATCTCAACGATGCAACATAGAGAATAACTTGATTCTTTGGGCTTTATTTCCAACATTATTATCATCTTGAATTTTAATTTTTCAAGTTTAGACAATCAAGGAAATTCAGTCTTCTCCATAGATGCATTGAGTATTTAGCATATACTTGAAAAATAATAAATACTTTTTTGAAAAATGCTAACTGTAGCTTTGATTAGGTTAAGGTGGGAAATGTTGATAGAAGTGAATCTGTTGAGAGCTCTGAAAAGCATGATCTTGACAGAGAACATCAAGTTGCTGATCCATCATCTTCAAGCCGTGTCAAACTGTATAACAAATTGCAGGCAGTTGAAGTTGAAATAAGTGCTGTTGCTTCTAGTATTACAGAAGAGAAGAGTGAGACGGTGGATGATCAGAAAGTCAGGGGTGATGTGAAGAAGAATGTTGTCCCTGTCCTGCTTACCCTTGATGGGTCTTCACTTCAGCAGGCACTGGCAAAAGATCGTCTAAGTAGTCTTCAGAGAACTAAAGCACGACTCCAAAATGAAATTTCTCATTTTGAAGGGCAGGATTCTGCCAGTAGGAATGAACATGAGGAGTTACTTGAAAGATTGGTTAAAGAAAAGCCAAAGCACAACCTAAAGCATAAGCCAGCAGAACAATCTAACAAGCACTCTAAAAGGAAGGCAAAAACAGTTGCTTATGATGAAGATGCTGATTTTGATGCAGTGCTCGATGCTGCATCCACTGGCTTTGTTGAAACAGTAAGTTGTCTACTACTTGCCTTTGCTTGGTCAAATTAAGGAAGAAATTTTCCTTGTTTTTTCTTTATACATTTTTGGGAGCGTTTTTTTTTTAATGTTCTCTAATGGTTTAGGAGAATACATATCCTTTTAACTTGGGGAAATGTGCTAATAATCAGCTGTTATTATCTTAGGAAAGGGAGGAACTGATTCGGAAGGGTAAATTAACCCCTTTCCATAAAATTAAAGGTTTTGAGCGACGTGTAGAGCTTCCTGGTCCATCAAATCAAAGTGAGGTTATTGAAGGGGCTTCAAATGACAATTTTTCTTCATCAAGCATTGGGAAAGTTGCTCAATCAATGGAAGATATTGCACGCAATCGCCCATCAACAAAATTGCTTGGTTTAGAATCCTTACCTATGCTTGATCCACCTGCTCGTCCTTTCCGGAGGTTAAGAAAGCCTCAGAAAGTTTCTCCAAGCAAAGAGGACCATGAGAAGAAAAAACATAAGCTTGGAAAGTTGAAGAGACCTTTACCAGACAAGAAATGGAGAAAATATGATTTACAGAAGGAAAAATTGCTCGATGGAAGTGGTATTTCTGCTTACCAATATCTAAATTTCAAAGCTACTAACTTTGCTATTTCAATTTTAGTAATCTACCCATATTTTGCTTAAAGGATCACTAACCTCCTACGTTGGGGAGAGATTCTTCTAAGATGTATATGGACTTGTGCAAAATGGAGTATTTTGAATCAGGTGCATTGCAGTTAAACATGAGCACTTGTTAAATTCATAGTCTGTTTAATGGGTTAAAAGTTTATATTTATTTATAATTTTCCTGTTCTTTTGTGTGCATATCAAGTCACATTTTTTGTTTGCACTGGTATGGAATAAGAGGGTCTATAGTTAGTTATCTGGAGTCAATCAAATAAAGTTTTATTTTATATTGACTACTATCAAATATGATTATATTTATTATTTATTCTTGATTTATTTTTGTTGAATCCAACTTCTTGCAAGAGAGGAAGAACACTTCCTCTTCTTGAAGTTGAGAGAGGAGGAGGGAAGAGGGAGGCATCCAAACGTTGGAAATCTTATTTCTTAACCATCCCTATTACATACTACAAGACCTATACTTATAGGCACCAAATGTAATATAAAAGGCTACACACAAAGCTATACAAGCCTAAAACATAAATCTAGGAACAAAGTACAACAATTTTCTTAAAGATTGTTTGCATATGCAGATTTTTTTTTTTTCATTTCTTAATGTTGCTTAAGCAGTAAGAACAATATTCCGCCGTAAATTTCTTCTGGTGTGCTTATGGGCAATGTTTCTAAGCATTATTTTTTTGCTTCACAGATGGGGATGCCGCTATCTCTGATTATGATATAGAAAACCAAGACGAGGCTGCAGATGATGAGGAACAATCTTGTGTGGTCCTTGAAGGAGGGTTGAAAATACCTAAATCTGTTTATAAGCAACTTTTTGACTATCAAAAAGTTGGCGTCCAATGGTTATGGGAGTTGCACTGTCAAAGAGCTGGGGGTATAATAGGGGATGAAATGGGCCTTGGTAAGACTATTCAGGTGATCTCCTTCCTTGGAGCTCTCCATTTCAGCAAAATGTACAAACCTAGCATCATTGTCTGCCCTGTTACACTTCTCAGGCAGTGGCTAAGGGAAGCTAAGAAGTGGTACCCTAATTTTGATGTTGAGATACTGCACGATTCTGCTCCTGTACAGCCATTAGGAAGATCCAATGATAGTGACTGCGATAGTGAAGCTTCATTGGATATTGATTATGATAACCCTTGCCCTAAGAAGCCAAAGAAAAGTTGGGATCATATGATAGATATGATTGCGAGATCAGAAGCAGGTTTGCTGCTCACCACATATGAGCAGCTACGAATTCATGGTGAGAAGCTGCTTGGCATTGAATGGGGATATGCTGTCTTGGATGAGGGTCACCGCATTCGAAACCCTAATGCTGAAGTGACCTTGGTTTGCAAGCAGATACAAACCGTGCACCGAATAATTATGACAGGAGCACCAGTTCAGAACAAGCTTTCTGAACTCTGGTCCCTTTTTGATTTTGTCTTCCCCGGTAAATTAGGTGTTCTACCTGTATTTGAGTCTGAGTTTGCAGTTCCAATCACTGTTGGCGGGTATGCTAATGCAACTCCTCTTCAAGTGTCTACTGCTTACAGATGCGCAGTTGTCTTGCGAGACTTGATCATGCCATATCTCCTTCGACGTATGAAAGCCGATGTGAATGCTCAGCTTCCCAAGAAAACAGAACATGTACTATTTTGCAGCCTAACACAAGAGCAACGGTCGGTTTACAGAGCATTTCTTGCGAGCTCTGAGGTAGAAAAAATTTTTGATGGTAGCATGAACTCCCTCTATGGTATAGATGTGATGAGAAAGATCTGCAATCACCCTGATCTGTTAGAAAGAGAACACTCTCATCAGCATTCTGACTATGGAAATCCAGAACGGAGTGGAAAGATGAAAGTGGTTGCTCAAGTACTCAAGTTGTGGAAGGAGCAAGGTCATCGTGTTCTTCTTTTCACTCAAACACTACAAGTCTTGGACATCATTGAGCGTTTCCTCACCAAAAGTGAATATAGCTACAGACGAATGGATGGACTAACTCCTATTAAGCAGCGAATGGCTCTCATGGATGAATTTAACAATTCCTCTGAAACTTTCATTTTCATATTGACGACTAAAGTTGGAGGTTTGGGAACAAATCTGACTGGTGCAAACAGGGTTATCATTTATGACCCAGACTGGAATCCTTCTACAGATATACAGGTAATGCATAATGAATTATTTTATTCTGCAATATTTTTATGTTAATCCTACAATTCAGTGTAACTGGAAGCTCCTTGTTTGACTATACCATATGAATGCTATAGGTTAAACTCGTTGATGATCTGATTTGTTCATTACCCAAGTATTTCCTTTCATATTCTAGGACTTATATCTCAGTGTTTCTTCTTGGAATATTTGAACAACATGAATGATCAAGTCAGAAAATAAGCCGTACTCAGAGTTTAAATTTAGTCATCCTCTCATCTTTGTCCAGAGTTAAGTGTTGCAGAGATGAGGATGCTTAGGTGGATGAGTGGCTTTACCCTATGAGATAGGATATGAAATGAGCATATACGTGAAAAGGTTGGAGTAGCTCAAGTGAAAGATAAGATTAGAGAGAGTCGCCTTAGATGGTTTGGTCACATTAAACGGAAGCCTTCTGATGACCCAGTTAGGAAAGTTGAGGTATTAGATTTTACTTATGTTAAAAAAGGTAGAGGTAGACCTAAAAAAACTTGGTTAGAAAATATTAGAAATGATCTTTCTTTACTAGATTTAAATGAGAATTTGACTTTTAACAGGTCACAATGGTGAAAAAGGATTCATGTAGCCGACCCCACGTAGTGGGACAAAGGCTTTTTGTTGTTGTTGTTGTTGTGGTGGTCGTCTCATCTTTGCTGTTACACATCTTACCGTAAAGATTAGCTGGATAAATCAGTTCTTTGATGTTTGCACAATTATTATGAACAGGCAAGAGAAAGAGCTTGGAGGATTGGTCAGAAACGAGATGTAACAGTTTATAGACTGATCACACGTGGAACCATAGAGGAAAAGATTTACCATAGGCAGATCTACAAACATTTCTTGACAAGCAAGATCTTGAAGAATCCTCAACAGAGAAGATTCTTCAAAGCCAAGGACATGAAGGATCTCTTCACTTTGCAAGATGATGGAAACGATAATGCTAGTGAGACATTAAATATCTTTGGTCAGTTGTCTGGAGGACTAAAACTTGAGATTAGCAACAATCAGGATGAGCAACCATCTCCAATTAAAGAGAGTTCACCTGGACCCCAACAACAGCAAAATGCCGATCAAAGCAATGGTTCAGCAGATGAAAAGAACATATTGAAGTGCTTGTTTGATGCTCAGGGGATACATGTATGTTACTTTTCTCTTCCTTCAATGCAATTTGTTTATGCAACCCCTTCTTTTGGGAGTTTATTACCGAGATGCTCTAGCACTGCTTCCTAAGAGCAGCGTGTCTACCAATTTCACCATGGCGGCTTACCTTAAATAATAATATATAGAATAGTAAATTCATGTTGAATTGTCGATATTCAATAGAGTTTAGGAAACAATGAAGAAAGATGCATTTCCAGATGATTCATCTGGAAATGTTAAATATAAAGAAAATATCAATAATACTTAATTAGTATCTTCGTAAGTTCAGTTTGAATAATCAACTTTTCCGTACTAGAAACTAGAAACCTAGCTCTTGTTTATCCAGAAGAGTCATAACTCAATAGTTTCGTTCTCAGTCGGGGTATAAAATTCATAATTCTTTGCTAACGATTTTGAGATCCAACACCTTAGTATAAAGTAGAATGAATCAGATTCTTTCTTGTCTATCGTAATTGTGCTTTTCTATTTTGAAAAAGCCACAATTCATAGGAAAGAAAAAACCATCTCACGAATTCAATATCAATCAATAGAAATTGAAATAAATAGAATAAAATAGAACATAAACAATAAAAAGAACTAAAATAGAATATAATAGAGATATATAAAGACTATTTGTTTTTCAGAGTGCAATAAACCATGATATTATCATGAACGTCCATGATGATGACAAAGTAAGGATGGAGGAGCAAGCTTCCCGAGTTGCGCAAAGGGCTGCAGAGGCCTTGCGGGAGTCGAGAATGCTGAGGAGTCGTGAAAGCTTTGCAACGCCAACTTGGACGGGAAAGTCCGGCGCTGCGGGAGCTCCATCATCCATCCACAGGAAGTTTGGATCTGCTGTGAACTCCCATTTGATTGGTTCTTCATCCAGTAATTTCACAGCTGGTGCTTCCACTGGTAAGACACTAACATCAGCTGAGCTTCTGGCTAGACTTCGAGGTCGACACGAGCGAGCCATGAGCGACGCACTCGAGCAAGACCTTGGCCAGGCATCTACCAGCTCCAGACAGAATGCTCAAACCTCAAGGACGGCTAGCAGGCTCACCATAGTGCAACCAGAGGTTATGATTCGCCAGCTCTGCACTTTCATACAGCAGAAAGGCGGTCAGGTCGATTCGTCGAACATAACACAACACTTCAAGGACAGGATACAGTCCAAAGACTTACCTCTTTTCAAGAGCCTTCTAAGAGAGATAGCTAACCTTGAGAGAGATGCTAATGGTGCTAGATGGGTTTTGAAGCCTGATTATCAATAACATTCAGTGCTTCAACGGCTTTTCTAACTATTGAGATTAAGCCAACCAAAATGAAATTTTTTGTTTTGTTTTGCAACTGTATAGTAATTTTCCTTACCCTTCAAGTTGTATGTAAATCTGATTGTCATTATTATTTTATATAGAATATTTTTTTTTTTTAATGAAAGGTAATAAGAATCGAATGATAGCAAAGCCATAGATAACAGAAATATAGTAAAAATCCTACACAAAGAGACAAACTGAAGGGTTCACCTCAATTATTGTGGACAAATTGCATGTTATTGGAAGTAGAATTGGACTCTGATGCCTAATGGATTATTTGCTTACAGCAAAAAGATCTGCAAAGCTTGCAGAAAGTTAAAAAACAAAAAACAGAGCTGCACTGGAAACTCTGTAAGTCCCAGCTGGGTCGGATCCATCACAATAAGGATCTGATTTATTTTATTCATTTATGTATGTGAACAAACGAAGCTTTTTTGGATATTTTTAATTGTTTATAAATTATTTTTAGTATATATTTTTTTAATGAAAAAAAAATACGACAAATAATATCAACGAAGCCAAAGTCATCACATCTGAAGGATTATGAAAATGTTGAGCTTAAAATATATACAAATTTCAGAAATATAATGCTAGAAAATGAAGTCTAATAAATTCATTATTTAAAAAAACATAAATATTTTTAATAATTTCAATCATATTTTTATTTAATTATAAATTTTTTGTAACATATATATTTGTTCAAAATGAAATTATTCCTATGAAAAAAATTATCAAACTTTTTTTTTACGTGAAAAAGTTTAGCTCCCACAACTTTACAAAATAAAGCTTCGGTTGGAATAATCCTAGCTTTTTAATACACAAATTTCTAAATAAAAAAAATATTAAACTTAAAAGTTGGTTTTAAAAACAATAAAAAAACGGTTCATAATTTTCTTGCTATTTTCTAAAGCAATTTTTATAATAAATAGTTTCTTAAAAAAAAAAAAAAGTAAAAAATTGTTCCAAACAAAACCTAAATTTTCCAAATAAATCAATTACTACTATCACAAATAGCTACAACATTCCAAACAAATTATAGTAACCACCACCTTACTAGCTGTCATCGAAAAACATCCACAAAAAAAAAAAAAAAAGGAAATGAATGCAATCCTCATATATGCTGATAATTATAATTGTGATGCTCATTTCATGGCTTTCAGGGATCTAGAATTGCAGACAAAAGAGTAAAAAGGTAAAACAACAACAACAAATTTTTATCCCATTATGTAGGATCGGTTACATGAATCCTTTTTTTTCCGTTGTGTTTTGTTAAGAGTCAAATTCTCATCTAAATCTTATAAAGAAAGGTTATTTCTAATATTTTCTAACCAAGTCTTTTTTAGGTCTACCTCTACCTTTTTTTTTTTACATAAGTAAAATCTAATACATCTACTTTCCTAACCAGGTAATCGAAAGGCTGCCTTTTTATGTGACCAAATCATCTAAGGCGACTCTCTCTAATCTTATCTTCCACTAGATGTACTCCAACCTTTTCACATATATGCTCATTTTGTATCATGTCTCTGAGAGTAAACACCTGAGCATCCAATCTCTGCAACACTTAATTTAATATTACGCTTCTCTTTTAATGGCCAACATTCTGCACCATAAAGCATTGTAGGTCTCACTACCATCATATAAAATTTTCCCTTAAGTTTGAGAGGGACTTTTCTATCACATAACAAACATGTTGCATTCCTCCACTTCAACCATCCAATTTGAATTCTACTAATAATATCACCATCTATTTCACCATCACTCTTAACAATAGACCCAAGTTATCTAAAACGTGTGCGCTTATTAATGACTTAATCGCCCAAAGTCACAATCCTTCCACTAGATCTATTATTACTAAAATTATACTCCATATATTCGATTTTAGATCTACTCAAACGAAGACCTTTAGACTCTAAAGTTGACCTCCTTAATTCTAGTTGACTTTCAACTCCCTCCCTAATTTTATCAACAAGAAGAATATCATGAGCAAAAAACATACACCAGGATACAACCTCTTGCAAATGTCTAGTGAGAACATTCATAACTAAAGCAAAAAGATATGGGCATAAAGCTAATCCTTAATGTAATCCAACTGAAATAGAAAAATACTCGGTCAAACTACCTTGTGTTTGAACACAAGTAACAGCTCCTGCATACATATCCATAATGATGACTTGAATATAAGCATTATTAACCCCTTTCTTATGTAGAACTCTCCATAGCACTTCTCTTATAACTTTATCATATGCTTTCTCTAAATCAATATTTGCATTGTAAAAAAATAGAGCAAGTAAAAAAAAAAATGAAAAATTGAAAATGACAACATGCAATATTTGCATTGGAGATGTTTGATGTTCTATTGCTATATATGCAGGTAAAAAGTATGAAATAGAAAATAATGGACTTTGAGTTCCACATAATCTTAAATCCCATTCTTCCTCATTAAATTACGATTCGGAGGTTTTCGTCTAAAGAAGTTGCAAGTCACAAACTCCCCTCCCCTTGTCCTTCGTACGTCACTAGTATTTTCGAGGCCTAATCCAGCAAGCTACATTTGCAGTTTTCTCTCTTCTTATCGTCAAGGTTTTTGGGTGTTTAGTTAGGAGTGGAAGTTAGAAAGGAGCGGGATTATCAGCTTTGACCACAGTAAGATTTGAGTGATTTTGAATTTGTGCGGTGCTTTTCAAGTTGGACTCCATCCTTTCTTTTTTATGTTTTAGGGTCAACAATAAGAATTTCTAACTTTAGATTTTTTTTTTCCATGCAAGAAAATTTGAGTTTGTAGAGTGTGTGCATTTTACGTCCCAACACTGTATAAACATTTAACATGCACATATACAAGTATTAAGATAAAAAAATTTTGCATGAAAAACTTGGAAAGGGAAAAAATCATGGGGCATGACCCAGATGAAAAATACACTATATATTAGAGCATATAAGAATCATTCCTTCCTCGTGGTTGAAGAAGAAGACGACGATTTGAAAATAAAATATCTAATTTCTCTTTTGTAGGATTACGGAAATATGGTGTCCACAATTAGATAACTGAAACCTAGTATTAGGGTTAAATCTTGTTAGAAGTCTAAAGATAGCGGTGAGTCGGTGATATTATTGACGTGAGAAAGCCGTCCCAAACGAATCCTTTAGATGATTGAATTTCTTAAAAGCACAAATCATGTTATGGTGTGAAGTAGATTCTAAGGGATATAAACTCCCTCAGAAAATTCAAGAAGCTTTGGACTTATTATTTCCAGAAAATTAGATTGTCTTAGAAATCCTCCACTTTCAAGAAATTCCCATCCAGAATTAGGGGAAGTCGAGCCAACTTCCCCACAAAAATCTCAACTTCATCATTTCAACAACATCAGTATGAATGTTCCTAACTTTAGTTCAACAATCAGGCCAAGATATATTGGCTAAAGATCCCACCTAAACTGTAGCCCCAAAATATGACCAAAGATGATTATGGTTACGATAAATTATGAACAAATCATGATATCATGACAACATTCCTCAAGAAACTATCGCAGGACAGAAAAGGAGGCCAAAAAAGGCATTCAAAGTTGGGATATGGGTCTTCACTATATAAATTTACAGGAAGAAATTATCATGTTTAATCACATATTGTGAAAAACTTTCACATATATATAACAGGAAATTGGGCCACTTGATTGGCCTCAACCGAGAAAAGAAGAACTCGATTTCGTCGCATGGGATGCAAAAGATTTCCCAATTATACAAGGGCTATAAAATTTAATGATATCAGATGTCAGTTGAACCTGCATGTTCATAACCAAAGCCAAGGATATTTGGGATGCACAGAAACAACATATTTCAAGGTGTACAATTTGGCCTAAAACTTCACACCACCAAGCAAGGTAATCTTTGAGTTACTGAATATTACAACAAAATGAAAAATTTCTAACTCCAACTTGATTACTACTACTGTATCAAAGTGGGACTCGGTGAAGATGGTGCAATGCCATAAATTTTGTGGATGAAGAAAGAATTTATGAATTCCTAGTTTGACTAAATGTTGAATATGAGCAAATACACATCTAAATGCTTGGAAAATACTTTCTTTCCAGCATAAATAAAATATCCTCTACCATTAGAAGTGAAGAAGGGAGACGTATTGCTATGTTAGAAACACCACATATTAGTGAAAGTGTTACCCTAATTATTATAACAAAGTAGGACATACCAAATACATGTTGTAAACATCAAGTCTCCAAGAGAAGCCTCCATACAACAAAAGGAAGTCTGCATACCAAAATCCTAACCCTCCATAATCGCCCCCCTTAAACAGCTCAAATCTCCTAATAAATGCCCCTTACATCTTTCCCAAAGAGTTTCCCCCTTTCCCAAAGAGTTTCCTCCCAAAGTATCTTCTCCTATAGCTAGCTAATAAAGGAGGGCTTGGGCCTCACCTAGGCAGCCGGACTGCTGCTGCCAGCTGTATCATATTACTTTCACTGTTTCACAGATAATTGCTCATGCACAACTTTGCTTTTACTAATGAAAAATAAATATGACATGAAAACAATCCTTTCTCATGTTTCATAAAATAATCCTCACACAATTTGACAATAATATTAAACGTATTAGGTCAGACAGTGGAAATGATTTTTTTAATCAAGCCTTATCCACCAAAAACTAAAACCTAAGATCGTTGGGATCCAAGTAAGCAAAATTTTTTCTTCATTATCCCACAAATAAATCTATATAAAGAAAACTCGTTTCAGTTAAATAATGAGCTTTTCTTACAAGATTGTTTTCCACCATAAAGTGCTCGTCTTCTTATGATTCTTGAGCTAAAGTGAATTTCTTGGTTTCAATTCAATCTTGAGCATTTAATTGTTGTTCACCCACTTTTGAATCAAGGATCGAGAATTAAAATTGTGTTTTTCCACTAATTGAACTTAATAAGTCTAGGTTAAGACTTGGGGAGATTCCCTTGCTTCGAAAAAAGGAACTGAAAGGGTTCCAGTTGCCCTTGAAAGGAAAAGAGCTCCTCCACTGGCATTGTGTGAAGGAGGGAGATGGCTGAATCTCTACTGTGTTGTGCTTGAGCTGCGAACATAGGCAGTATGCATCAGACTACGTAAAAATGGTTAGCTTTGCATGCTTTAATTTCCATTTCATTACTTTCATCTAATTACTTTCTTCACATTTTAATCAAACTCACATGCTTGGTGTGAATTGGGTTTAAATTTCAATTTGATTTGATAAACACAAATCTCTCCAACCCTATTTGGATTTGCCATAACTCTCATCTTTCCTTTAATTTCCGATGTAGATGCTCATACTAATTTTCCACTAACTTTTATATATAATCTAGGAACTCATGAATAGTAAGATTCAGTTTTATTATATTATTATCTACATTTAACATATTTTTAAATTAGTGATTGACTACAATGTTTTTTTTTTCCCTTCTTACAGTGTTTGCCTACTTTCTCCATTAGTTCTAAATTCCATAAACATCATCCATGACTTCATAAAAATAATTCATTCATATTTTTTAGCAAATTAAATTTGTTGCACATAAAGGCATCTCAAAAAGGTTCTATCTTAAGAGATGAATTATTTCAACGGGAATACATTTGATGAATGAAGAAGTGTTTAACTAACAATTTCACATATAAAGAAAAAAAAAACAATATTTTTTTGCCTACAATGTTAAATGTTTGGCATTAAACTCAGCTCAGCTCTCAAAGATTTCATCTAGAGTTTGGGATGGAATTGACCAGTTCTAATTTTCTCAATTAGATAATTGAGAGTGAAAGAAAGCTTACATTTAAAGGCCTCCGGTTAATTGGAGACTATTTACATAATTACCATAAGCATTCCAAGTGGCACGGTTTAAAATACCTAATTAATAGGATTATTTAATAAAGCTATTTATCTTTTTTTTCCTTTTGTAGGGGTAGTTTTAAATTTTTTTGTTAGGTATTTTAGCAATTTTGAATTTGTTATTCTGATGTGGTATGGGCTCTATTAAAAGCTGCCTCCTCCTATAATACTATTCTTTAAATTTTTGGTTGAGTTTTATTTCAAGTTTTGTTATGGATTGGGGAGGGTTTCTAATTTTAGGAGAGTAGAGAAGACAAAGGGAATTGTAGATTGTAGTGGAGTCCGGGATTGCCACAATCGATCGCCAAAGTTTTTATTTTTTCCCTTTTGCAAGGTAAATGATTGATCTACTGGTAAACTATTGGTATTCTTTTCAATTGGTTGCTATCCCAATCATCTTGAAGGCCCAGGAAGGGCATAATAAGGGCCAAGAAGAGCACAATAATGTGTTGTATGGACAAATTTTGGACGTTGGGGCTTTATCCAATCGTTAAACATTATTGTTTATCATTTGGAGAGGTGCTACATTTGATGTGGTAACAAGCTCACGAAACAAACAATCATAAATTGAGGGAATCTATAACTACATGGGATTCTTGCAATAAATTTCAAGTGCATAATTTTTCCGTTATATAGTTTCTAAAAATCCTTGTCAGCACGATTATTCATTACTCTTAGTGTTGGAAGTTCCATAGGTAGTTTGACATCGTTAGTTTGTAAGATTCTTTGTTTTTGTATGTAAATTGGAAAGAACCAAGGTAGAATTGAATATTGAAAATATGTCTGATTAAACGTGCACTGTCAAAATATGTTGCTATAAGCAAAATAAAAATGGATGGACATCTCGAAAATCTTTCATGTGGAAACTAGTTAAGAGGATATACTACAAAAACTTGTCCGAAATAAACAAAAGTTTATAGAATCAGAATTGCAATCTTCAACGAAAGGCCTAAATCCGAACACACAATGTGCCTCAAAGTGAGGAAAAATTCCACATTAACCTCATCTAAGACTCACATAAAACAACATAATCAATTTATACCTATTTTTCTGCCACTCCAACCTACTTGTTCTCCTCCAGCTGCTCCTCCACCTCCTCTTCATTCTGCTCCTCTTCCTCCTCCTCATCCCCCTCCACATCGTCATCACCATCGTCGTCGTCGTCGTCATCATCATCATCATCATCATTATCCTTGCCTTCTACAAGGTAAGCTCCCGGCTCCAATACCCTTCGCCGCCGAGTCCTTGCCGGTAAGATGTTGTCAAGATCCATCTCCGCAAGAGGATCATCGGAGAAGTCGCTGTCGTCATCATCTCCCTCACCATCCACTTCGCTGCTTCCATCTTCATCATCACTAGAATCCCCGAATTCTCGACCACCCTCGTCGTCACATCCCTCTTCCTGAACCACCATCTTCCCCTTACCCTTATCCGCCGCAGACAAAATGGCCTTTCCCTTATCCTTCTCCACATTCCCGTTCTGATTGCCGCCTACCTTCTTATCATCTTGGCCGGCGTCGCCGCACTCTTCGAAGGGAGCATCGGACTTCTGCTGCTTCATCGTTCTTTCAGCCTCCTCTTCCTCATCTGGCACTAGATTGGACTTTCGTTTGAGAGGCGATGAGGTAATCGACTGGTGATCTAGCAGTTCTCCCTCCATCTCTGCCATAGGAATTAGGGTTTTCGCGGACTGTCGAGGGCTGGCGAAACGAAGGTTGAGAAACAGGCTAGGGATTTTAAGGACAATTTTTCTTTTTTATTCCATTTACATAAAAATGCTTTAAAATTTTTGAAATAATTATTAGAAAAATATATGTATCAAATTTTAATAAATTCAAATTAATTATTCGTAACATGTCCTTTATTGAAAATATTTTTAAATTATTTTGTTGAATATAATAATATATTCTAAATGCAATATAATAATACATAGTTAAATTATGATATTTATCTTTTTATAGCAATATTTATATAAAAATAAATTATATTAGATGTTATAATCAGGAATTTATTATGATATATTAAAAATTTTAGAATTTTGTTTAAAATAAATATTTGATTTTATTGATATTACTGTATTAGAATATTCTAAGTTGAAATTGATTTTTTTTGTTTTGTATTATAAAAAATTGGCTTCGAATATAAGTGGGTATTAGTGTATGAATGATATTTGAGTCATTACATTAAAAAATAAATATTCGATTGTATTATATCGAAATAAATATTATCTTTTTAGAATATAACAAATAATTGTTATAAGTTATACTTGTTTCTTATATTTTACATTTTAAAAATAATAATTAAAAAAAATAAAACTATCTATATTGACCTCAAAGTTGAATAAAAAATTGAGAGAATATTTACAAATAATAATTTTGTGCCCCATAAAAAAATTTCTTACTCCTATATTTATTTTTATTCCAATTAAAATAACATTTTTATTTGTAATTTACTTAAGATTAATATTGTTTGCAACTGAACGGCCCCGTAACCACTCAAAACTTTTGTCATCCACTTTTTTTTTTAATCATTTTCTCAAAAAAAAAAAAAAAAATCATGCAACATGAGCGGATCAGTTTTTTTTTTTTTAAGGTGGTTAAAATTTTAAATAATTAAAAAGATAATAATAATAATAATTCGATTAAAAAAATACATAAAAATAGTGTTTCCACTTCATTTGCAAGAGAAAAATATAATTAGACCATAATGTAAAAGTTTTAGGTTTTATTTTAATTAATTAACCAATTTGAGAGTCCCTTTCATCGAAGAACTGGAGATTACAGAGAGAGTACAAATTACTGGCCGCTCAATCTTCTGCGATAAAAGTTTTCATATGATTTGTTGATATCATGCAGTAATGTTAAATTAATTTATATCATATCATTCAATTGTTTTTTCATATGATCAAAAGCAAAGATGAGATTCCCTTCGAGGTTTCTTCTGAAAAATTGAATGTAGGGGGAAGAATTGTTGGAAAGATTGAGAATCTCTGTTTTCCAACTTTTTTTTTTTCTTTGATTTTTGCTTTCTTTCAAGATGAACAATTGAAACGGCGGAATCTGTAACGATAAGGAAATATTCCACTGATTTCAAGCGAATAATTTCAAGAAATCAAGAACATCAAATTGAGGGAATCTTCCAATATATAAGAAAAAAAAGTTTAACAATATCTAACTTTATATTAAAAACAAAAAAGTACATCTAGAAAGTATTCTTTCATCCAACAACAAGTTGAATGGTTGAAAGAATCTACGACGAAAACATTTCCAAGAAAACAAAAAAAGAAAGAAACACACCAACAGTTCACAGAAGCAGAACACCAATCTTCAACAAAAGGCCTAAATCTGAACACACACAATGTGCCACAAAGGGCCGAAAAACCCACATTCATCCTACCTAAAATCCACACAGAGAGCAACCTAATTCATTTGTACCTATTTTTCTACCATTCCGGCCTACGCGCTTCCCTCTGCATTCTCCTCCTCTTCTTCATTCTCTTCATCCTCTTCTTCCTCCTCCTCCTCCTCCTCCTCCTCCTCTTCCTCCTCCCCCTCCCCATCCGTTGTATGATCATCCTCATCGCTCTCGCCCTCTAATCGATAAGTCCCGGCCTTCACTGCAATGCGCGGCCGTACCCTTCCGGGTATGATGTTGTCAACATCCATCTCTGTAAGAGGATCATCAGTGCAGTCACTGTCACTGATTTCATCGCTTCCGTGACCATCATCGCTAGAATCACTCTCCTGGACGTCGCCGCCCTCTTCCTCATCCACCGCCATTTTCCCCTTCCCCTTCTTGTCATCTTGGCCCGACTCTTCGAGAATAAAGTCGGGCTTCTGCTGCTTCACCGCCTCATCAGACTTTCGCCTGAGAGGCGATTGGGTTAGCGATTCGTGATCTGGCCTTTGAAGTTTTCCTTCCATCTCTGCAACGGGAATCAGAGCTTTTGCGCGAACAACAACGATGGATCGAGAGGTAGTTTTCAGAGATGGGAACTGCCGAGCGACGGGGCAAGGGTTTTATAGAGCAATCGGAATCGGTTACCAGAGCGGGAAAACGGGGAAGTTGTTCTTCTCAGTTATCATCTTTTTTTTTTTAAATATATATAAATTATAATATCTTAATGTAGAATATACTAGAACGGGATTCATAACCGTCGGTTTATATTACGATCGGTGTAATTTAAAAGAGACAGGTATAATACTAATCTTAATGTAAATCGGACGGCAATAAAACAGAACCTATTAGTTTTGCAACTGAATATCCTAACATAGATTTTTTTTTTTGGAGATTTACATATGAGACACGTAACAATTATCTATTTATAGAATAGACACTTTGGACTATGTCTATTTTTGAGGTGTAAAACAAATGAATTTGTCAAATTCATCATTAAATCGATGGAAATTTAACAAAAAAACTAAAAATATGGATTATGATTGTGAATTTTAATATTTATATATAAATTTAAAATAGATTTAAGAGAGTGTTAGTTTCATAAGCGGCCGAATTTAGAATGTTATGCAAGCAATTAAATAATTTCTTCAGGAATGCATTCGTAACATTTAAATTTTAATTATTTACATAACTATAATTTACAATATAAAGCTGCTTTAAGAAGCAATAAGAAAATTGTTTCAAATGAAACCTTACAGTACTATTTATCGAATTATCACTTAGTATACAACATGCATCAACCATTCATCTTTAGAGTCGAAGCCCTCCCAATATTTGCATTCGATGTCTACATGATAATTCAAAACAATCAATCAGCCAGCGACTAGCCGAATCTAGGTCTTCAATTACGAACTTAAAAAATGGACCAACTAATCAGCAACATGAATCA